TTTCCCTCCGTGTAGTGAGGACAACTGACAGCAGCTTCAAAGCAGAAACGGAGGGTACAGGCAACAGGACACTAGACTCAGACATAGTTCAGATTTTCCCAATAGGAAACAATTTTGCCATATACTACAAATTATTTGGACGTGTTTAGAGAAAGGGCAGCACACAGGAGCGTGGCAGAGAAGCGTACGAGACAGCAGAGCTCTCTTGCTGTACAGGCCGGTTCCAAGGCCTAAAGATCCATCTTTCACCAATAGCAACTAAAAACGGGTTAATTATTTTTCGTTGCTTTGGTTATAGCCAACGGCCTTTGATAGTATTTATTTTAAACTACGCAGGATTATGGCCTACTAAACACAGGTTTAAAATATCTAACAGACAGAGCGCGCCAAAAAGATGCAAAAAGCTGCTGCTTCCTGCCACACGTTCTGCGGCATCAACTCAGCCCTCATCAGCGAAAGTTCTCTCAGGTCACCCACGCAAGACTGCTCAAGCAGAACACACGTACGCAAATGCCCGAGGGAAGAAAAAAAAAAAAAAATCCGGGCCGAAGGATCCCGCTGAAAGGGATCGAACCTGGAAAAGCTTCCGTTGAAAGCACAAGGCTGTCTCGTGCAAGTGGAAGAACACTCGTTATTCGTTGAGACAGCAGCAAGCTGAAGGACGGTGCTGGTGGCTGCATCGCTTCCCTGCTCAGGCACCATCTGCTTCTATAAACTGTCCTTCCCTCGGTTCTGGTGCACTTCAAGTGCCTCACTGCGCTACGCGACAGCACTTCTGCTCGGCAGCTCATATCCTGTAGGGCGAATAGCCTCAACTCTGATGATATTTACAGCTGCTTAGCGACTCAGACATGCTCTAATCATGAAGCGCAGTTTCTTCTTAATGCTTCAAGAACACAGTTGTCACAGCGTAATCCTGAGAAATAAAACCAAACCATTACCTGCTGATGTCCATCCGGGGCACCTCCTTCGTGTACTTGAATTTGAATCGATACAGTTCGGTCACTGTCTGGAGATGTAGCAAGAGAGGGGAAAAGGAGAAACGGGTCTCTTTCAGTGACAAGTTTAGAGGCGCACCCTGAACCTAGCCGTGTCCTCTCACACCTTTAGGCCAGAGCACAGCACCAATTTAACGACATGACGACAGCTTTAGCTCTATTAGTGCTTGCACGGGCTTTGGCAAATTTTCTTAACAACCCCAGCTTACCTGGCACTGAAAGAATCACAAGAAAAGGACAAACTTCCTGCTTCCTCCTTCCCCTTCCTCTGTGGGCCTGACTCCCCAGCCCAAATCTCTAAGGAGGCAGCGGGGCCAGGCACCCAGCACAACCTACGCGTGCCCTCCCTTACTACAAGGAAAAACGTGAGGCTTCACGGATGATGCAGGGTCACAAGGAAGCCTCGCCCAAAGTTCTGCACAAGGACAAGGGCCCGAAGGACTCTTCCTAGTAGGAAATACAAACAATATTGCATGGGCAAAAAGTTTCTGAATTTCACTGGTCTCAGAGTTTTCTGAGGGAGATAAAAAAAAAAAAAGGAGGATTTTCCATTTAGAAGGAAAGGATTTGCTATGATTTTAGAAAATAAACTAATTAGGAAGAACAGACAACTTCACCACAAAAGAAAGGATCTATTGTAGTCCAATTCTGTGCCCATAATTCACTTTTTCCAGAGGCAATGAGGTCAATTAGTAGGAGCTCAGCTGAGCCCTTAACTCTGAGCCTGCCTTATAAATCCTGCTCTCTCCCCAGAAGCTGAGGTGCGGCGCAGCAGAACTGTGATCAGGTGAGCACAGATTCTGCAGCCGTTCTCAGAACCTCACTTATAATACATCACACTACCCAGTCTGTCTCCACCAGCCAGGCACAGAGAAACCAGAAACACACCTGGGAACACTGAGGGGATAAGGACAGGCACTACGCAACACACACGGCCCAGGCCTGAAGTGATTCAGAACTTCTGTCCTAAACCCCTCTGCAGGAAAAAACAGCTCTCTACAACACCGCTGTTTAAAAGATGGTTTGTGAAAGAATTAGTTTGAACTTCCCATTTCTTCCCTTCAGGCAAGACAAACGAAATTGGGAACATGCCCATTAGCTGCCTGTTGACGTCCCTGCCTGAGGCCCTAGATGGGCCGGCAGCCTAGCGCCTGGTGGGAGCGTTTGATCACAGTCCAGCTCACTGAGCTGTCATTCTTGAGTGAAGGCAGAAGAAGAGAAACAGGGTCACCAAGCAGCTATGTCAGGGTAGAATTTAAGCCTACAAGCCCACTCTGAATACAAATCTACTCACCCGTGCCTTCAGTTACCTCAAAGATTAATTAAGACTCTTTCTTACCTCCGGTTCCTTGGGATTGGTGTAAATCTGGTACAAGAAAGCACAGTGAGGGCATTTTCCCCTTGGATAACTTGGACCAGTGAAAAGCGACTAAACAATGATATTTTCATTTCACAGCAGAGCTTATGCTATCTTCAGCGCGGGATCAGAGAAAGGAATGGCCGAGAAACAGCCCTCCTCTATCAGCGGTCACTACCTACCACTTCAAAGACAGGTAGAAGACACCCATCTGTGTAATTGCAGAGGAATGAGGCTAATTCCCATTCCAGCCCTCACAGGCAACTGTTGATGCCTGAGATTTGACTACTGGGATCATGCCCGGAACAGATGCACAGCGCAGCTCTGGGGGCTTTACAAAGGCCGGGGCAAAAGACTTGCTACGTAACCGCGTGCGTGGTTCCTTCAGGATCGGACTAACAAGGAGGGCTCTTCTGCAGGGGGAAGTGGAGAAGACCCAGCAGCTTCCAAGGGGGGAGGCAAGAGTTTAAAGGAAGCAATGACACGAACCCCATGAGAGTGCTTCTAGGAGTTTAAGGGTGCGTGTAAACGCCTCAGTCAGAAGTCCGACATACTGAGCAAAATATTCCCACGCGGCCTAGGAAGTTCATATTTACCATATTTAAGAAAGGTCACCGCTCTATTAAAAGCCACATACACTTTGACTTCCCCTTAAAAAAGGCACAAATGGGTTGACACAACCTTGACTCCATATCTCTTTCTAGCAGGGTGGGGGGAAGACAAACGCCCCACATTCGTTTACTTACTGCGAGGACAGCAACGTGTAACTAAGGAGGGAAAAACAAAACAAAGCGCAAGATCAAAATATAGCCTTAGTGGGGAAGGAAAAGACAGACCTACCAACACCTCACTGCCTACACACAGTGAAGGAACAGCCACATTCCCCAAGCTGTGAGTTACAAACCTTAAGGCAGATCCTCCACAGCACAGCATCAGCAGCACCTAGTGGCCACCGCGCTTGGCTTTACTCGCAGTTTCCCAAGAAAACGACTGCACGCTCAGACTTCCCTCTCGGGCCTCTTTCTAAACCCATCTCCAAAGGCTCTGCCAATTGAAAACTCCTTTACAAGAGCACCCATCCCTACCTAAGGCTAGTGCTTGCTCTCTGCGTGAAACCTCCCAAAGGCATTTAATTTATCCTAGAGCAAGAAAATGTACCTGGGACTACTCTTGAAAACAATCCTAGAACATGCATTAAATATCTCCGTCTTTTCCCTAATCCTCCTGAAATAGCAATCAATTTAAATCTCTCATAACTAGCAGAGGACTAAACACCTCCCAGAACTGTCAGCAAGCAAAAAACTGAGTTCACAACATTTTGAATTATCTTGTGCACGCTGACAGCTGTACTGATGCACACGAGCCCATCTGATCATCAGCGCCGAAACTAACCGCGTCATCTGATCGAGATGAGAGTCGGTGTGATGAACAGCGCTGACAGAGATGACAACAGTTAGTGCTTCTTCCTGCGCAGAGCAGCTCTTATGTGAGAATCAGCACAGAATAAGATTGCTTACCTGCTGATTTGGTCCAGTTATTTACCTTACTTGGTGGATTAACTTCCAAAAAAAAGTAATACATTCTGAACCCAAGAGAAAAGCCAGGAGAAGATGAGAAGGGAGAACACTAGGGGAAAAGGAGACGAAGGAAAGCAGACACACAGAAGAACCTCTCTCAAGAACACAGGCATGGAGACCAAGATCTCAGTTCTGACCGGCAGTGTCTCTACGCAGACATTAGAGAATGCAAATGTGGAGCACAGAACTCAGGGAAATCCGTTTCAGGCTGCAGACTAGTTCACACACCATGTACAGGCAAGCCTAGAGAGCAACAGCAGTCAGCGTTCAGGCTCAAGGAATAAAATCCCAGATCTCACGTGTATATAGGTCTTCCCCCTGCCCCACAGCTGTAAATGTGTGCTGCGTGCAGGCGAGATCACCACAAAAACCTAAAGCAGGGATGGGAAGATACTCTTGTCCCTCCTTTATGAAGAAATAGGAAACTCCATTAAAAAACGTGAAAAAAACAACTTACATACTGCCTCTCCAAAGCATCAAAACATCCTTGAATCCTGCCAGGGAAAAAACACGTTTGTACTGAGCAGCAATGTTTATCTCCTGGTCTGTAAACACACACTCATTAGATACAGTTTAAAGCACATTTCTTCTGGAATTGAGACAACACAGCTAGCAACATTTTGGGCTTGTTAAGTCCTTTGCAGGTCAATCATCCTAAAGGCACTGTCCTCCCTTCTGCATTTGTGCACTGTTTATACTTCCAGGGCCATATCCTGTCAGGCTGGAGCCCACTTAAATCCTGACAAAGACAAGGATCTGAGGCCCAGGGCTGGCTCTGAGCGGTTCTCTGCTCAGGGCTCTGTTTTGGCTCCCCAGCTTGCTCTCCAGTGGCTCTTTTCCCACTGGCAGCGTACAGAGCTTGGCTGAAACTTCAATCTGAACGCGGCCTGACATGTCTGGTCTTGTAAAGTTTTTGTTATCTGATGCATAGTTTACAGCTATGGACTTTCTCAAAGTCGTAAATATTATTTGAGGTAGCAATGGTCAGACAGTTACCCTTTGCGTCAAAGGATGTCCAGCAAGGTATCTCCTTAGCACATCAAAGTCAGACTCTTTGCTTGTTGGGAACATGCCAACTCTGAAATACATCTTAAAGAAAGCTGTAGGGTACTTAGACACACGATGCCCAAGGAGATAAAATACTGTACGTACAAAACCCAAGCTACAAGAATCCCTATAAAAGCGAAACGAGAAAAGCCTGAACAAGAGAGTCAATCTCATGTTTCCTTTACCCTCTCTCCGTACCTACGCCGCCCGTGCGTGCTCTGGGGCCTGACCACGACCTCACGACAGTCCGCACTTCAACAGGCCTTGAACTGACGTGATCTTGGTCAGCTAATTCTGTCCTGCTCACGCACAGGGCCGAGCACACGCGCTGCTGCAGCGGGAGCTGCCCTGGCACAGTCGGTAGCGCCACAGGGCACGGCGTTTTCAAAGTCAGGAAGAAGAAGAACACGAGGGGTAGATGTCTTGCTATTCAGCACAATCTCGTCTTAGTTTCGCTGTTACTCACTTACCACTTGACTATCTGCAATGATCCCAGACAGCTTTTATCTTCTCGGAGAATTTTTAGACAGAGGTCTGCAAAACCAGGTTTAGCACATAGTTACAATCCTTATCACAGCTTTTGGGCAAACACTGAAACTAAGCCAGCCACCCTCCCTTTTTTGGATAAAATGTGTTATCTGGAGGTCCTTCCTGAGCGGAAACGTCGGTTCTCCACTGAGTCCCAGGTGTACTGACACAAGCTTATCGCTGCATTTTCAAATGTCAAGGCTTTCCTCAGATGCTCGGCTCTCCCAGAAAAAGTGCTACAGTTACGGCTTAATTTCGAAACACCAGCAGCTTCTGTCCTCTCCTCCCTCCTCTCCTCCACTCCCACCTATTCCACCATTCCATAACACCACTTTCACTTCTGCATTCAGACTTCACCAACATCCCCGCGACATAAAGGACCCGTGCACAGAACAAACTACTTCTGTCAAGCTCTTCCACGCGGCTCCTTCTACCTCTGCCTTCAGGCACTCAGAAGGGCAAGAGGTAACCCGTCCTGCAAACCACCAGGCGAATCAGTAACACCCCAGGATTCAACCCAAAGGCATGAGCAGGCCAGATGTTAACATTCCTGACCAAAAAGGCACTTGAAAGACCTGCCGTTTGATTAGAAAGACCAGCGGCTTGTCAGGGTTAGGTGATCAAGAGCCAATTTGGGATTTTCTGTGCCCTCAACCAAGTCCCCAAAGTTGCTGTGACCCCGTTTCAGCACAGCTAACTGTGTGAATGAAAACACGGAGACGGACTGGAATGCACGGAGACACTTCACACCCTACCAACACACCTTGAATGAACATAAAGATATTGATGAATCAAAGCATCACTAATGCTTGTGAGCCTATGACAAGACTTTGCTTCTTAAAGTTCCTTTTTTTTTCCTTAAAGTTCTGATTGCTAAGCACATGTGGTTATGGGAGATTCTTTCACAGAAAAAAAGACAATAAAACAAACAAACAAATGCACTTTCAGTCTCACAAGGAAAGCCGAAAATCTGAACCTCAAGGGCTCAAAAACACCAAGGAAAACAAACCACGCCAATCAGAGCCAAGTTGTTAAAACTTATGGATTTTTAAGTCAATCTCCTGACTCTGAGACCTGATTCACGGGGCTGGCAACACCGAGGAATGACTGTAAGCCAAAGGAAACACAACCAGGAAAGCCAGGAGCTGCCAATAGCTCTAGGTTGTCTTCTGCGCTCTCTATCTGATGCAGAAGCACTGGCTGCACCCAGGCTTGAGAGGGCCTGTTAGCCACCTTCCCAGTAACTGAGCTCGCACCCATGCGAGCGGCTGGAACTAACACGTAGAGCAGATTGTAGCTAAAACCGAGCAGCAGAAGTAAGAACTCGGCACAAACTGGAAGTGTTACCATCTAAATAGCGAGTTCCGTAGGAGCTCTCCGGGAACAGCCCTCTCATGTAGGTGATGCAGGACACAGAGACGGCCAGCAGTCTCTTCACCAGCACCACGGACTGCTGCTCAGTGGCAATTTTGCTGGGGAACAACACGGATTCCTGAGAAAGGAAGGGAAAGCCAAAAAGGGCACCGCTTTAGTGTGCCACAGGGATTACATTTAGAAACAAGCCTCAGCAGGTGGAAAAAGAGGGTCACTTAGAAATGTGATTTTAACACTTCTTTGGTCTTCATACTACACAGAGAAGACTCACGTCTAACATGGGGGGGATGAAATGTTTTAAGGATGGTTATCAAGAGATCTGACACGATTCCCTCCAATGCAGACTGCATTGGTTGGTCATTCCCCCCCCCGTTTTATCACGGCTGAACGTTCGCATCCCCTCCACAGCACCAATGCTGGCACTTAACACACAACCACCCCTAAAATAATATGAAATATTCCATTTTCTGACAGCTTAGCTCCACAGAGTTAACTGTGGAGCCAAACAAGGGGCAGTGCTGGTGCGGCGTTCACTGCTGTACCAAAGTTCGCTGCCCACCACAGCTTTTTTCGGGATCTGACAGCAGACTGAGCCTGTCCACACCCCACATAGACCTGGTCTTCAGAGCGATTTGAACGCACAGTTGTAAACAGTACATGTCTAAGACTGGAGCTAATGTGGATACTGACCACGGTGTGATTTTAACATGAACAATCTCAGCGGAAAAAACATTAAATTTAGTTCCTCTATTACTTTGTTGCTTTTCTTCCTGCTAAGAAAGCTCTGTGCCCACCTAATGAGCCTGCGTTCATTTAAATACATGTCAAAGCCCCAGCTGCATCTTCCTGGACCCACTACGTTGGACATAATCCAACTAAGATCAGCGCAGACACCAGAAAGTGTTCCCATCCCACCAGGCACAGAGGCGCCAGGTCCAAAACTGAGCTAAGATTGTCAGTACCATCACATTTCAAGGTTTTTACCTGAGAGGACTTTTTCTTTTGCCTAGTCAGTAAAAGCTGTTGAGTAGCCATCCTATATTTCAAAGACCTGCCTTCCACTTGTAGTTAAAACCTGGGGAAAAAAAAAAAAAAAGAAGATATGAGACACCTGGAAAACACACAGTCATTGCCATTTCTCATCTTCCTTAAACTAAGAGCGAGATTCATCAGCTTCTTCAGGTCTGAAAGCTAATCGCCAACCAGGACAGCAAACCAAGGACGCTCCGCGGCACTGAGAGGCTGCAGAGCAAGAAAACTCCCTGTTCACTGGTAAACGATCAATAGTGTTTGAAATTCAGGGCCACAACTGCACCTGGTGTCAGCTGGTGCCACTTCAAAATGCATTTCTCATATTCCATACCACAAGTGTTAATTCCTACAACCATTAAAGAGTGTGAAGGGGGAATGTGGAACAACTGGACGCCTGCCAGCAGCAGGCAATATTTCAGCAAGGGTAAGCAGGAAACGCACTAACATCGATCTTGGCCGGAATAAAGGAATGATTCTTCTGGGACACCTTGAAAGGGAAAAGAAAAAAAAAAAAAGAAGAGGGAGAAGTCCACACTGTTTCAATGAAAACGGGCCCTGCTAGACAGGCCTGGATTAGAGGGGAAAATATTCTTTTCGCAAGAATGGAAAGCTGATTGATAAAGGCAATAAAGTGGACACTACGTGTTTTGCACTTCGGTGAGGTGCTTGATTTAGCACCATCTGACATCTTGATTAAAAACTTCCATTAGAAGGAATTAACAAGGCACGCGCTAACTGGTTTGAGAAATGGCTCGCTGGGAAATCTCTCCATGTAGTTGCTAACGGGGAGACGTTAATGAAAGGAACCACAAACAGGTCCCCAGAGGAGCGTTGCCTTGTCCGCAGCTAGTCAATATTTCTATTAACAATTAAAATAATAGCGTAAACACGGTGGGCTGATTTAAACCATGACCTAATGCAGTGAGCAGCAGACTTTTATCAGAACAGCTGATCTAATCTTGTTCTGCATTTGTACCTTTTCAGCTTTTTTCCATGAAAGCCTCATTTCCATTTGTTGGCAGTCATTAAGGCATGTTGATTGGAACATGCTGACAGCTTTTATGCTAAATTTAGCACTTCGTTTAGTAATGAGGACAGATTACAGCTATAAAAGTATATTTAAACAAATACACACCTGCAAAATTTTTAAGATGTTAAATATTTTAGGAAAGTTGGCTTTTACCCGTGATTGGCTAAGCACTGTGAGCAGGACTGGAACGCAAGCAAAGCAGACAAAGGCGTTATTCCAACACGAGGTTATTAGCTGAATAAAGCTGTTTAAGCAACCCAGAGAGATAAGAAAACACGTTTTCTACAACATACCACACTTCTCATTGATTTATAGTGCAAAGGAAACAGCACCCGGGCTGAGCTTATCCGCTCCGGCCTGGTTGTTTGGGCACAGGGCACCTCCAAGGCTCCGGCATCACCGCCTCGCCTCGGCCAGCCCTGCGCCGGGCTGCGAGGAGGAGCGGGGAGCCCGGCACCCCGCAGCCCCACCGCTCACCCGCTCCGAAGCCACTTTACCACCG